GGAAGGAGTGGTCTTGTCCTGCAGTCCCTAAGGAAGGAGTGGTCTTGTCCTGCAGTCCCTAAGGAAGGAGTGGTCTTGTCCTGCAGTCCCTAAGGGTATTTTGGTCATTGTCTCCTCCCTGCTGGATTTCAGGACAGATTCTCCAATGAGCTGTGTCTGTTATATAAACAGAAGGCAACTGAGGGGACTGTGGTCTGGAGGGTGACCATCTGAGGCCATACACTTGTAAAGGAGGGGACTGTGGTTTGGAGGGTGACCATCTGAGGCCATACACTTGTAAATGAGGGGAGGGGGCAATGCCAGACTTCCTGGCTCTCATGCCCTGCTCTTCGGCACTAAGAGCAGTATCTGAGCTGGAAGATGATGGTGCCCACCCCTAAGAAGGGGCCACCAGCAGTCTAAAAAGAGGGACACATCTGTGGCCCCTGGAGAAGGGCCTCCAGGGAGCAGAGTCACATTAAAGACTCCAGGGCCTCCTGGAGCACAGCACTCTACTCCATCAAGGACTTGGCCAGGGTTCTCAAAACAGGGGACATGTCCAGAAAGGTAGGGGTGTGGGCAGGAGGGGACATTCTAGCAACACAGACTGTCTGGGTCAGCGGTCTGGTTCATCCACTGTGCAGAATCACTAATACTAACATAAGCTTTTCAATTTTTATTCGAAAGAACAGCTTCAAAGTCTGTCTAAACTTGGCTGCTATGTAGTATTACCTCCGGGGTAAGCAGATGTGCTCAGGCACAATGACACAGCTGCCCTGACGTGGGTGTGAGGGCCAGGGCCACCGTCTTCCTGCCTCAGCCAACAGTGATGGTGACCCTTAGTTTTCTGTGTCAGCCTGCTCAGAACACCCAGTGATCAAATACTAATCAAGGTGCTGCCAGGAAATTGTTTCATAGATGTAATTACACAGGCAGCAGTGGCATGAGGCGAGGAGCGGACCCGCAGCAATGGGGGGGCCTCGTCCACTCAGCTAACGGCCTTCAGGGCAAAAACGGGGTTGTTGAGAAAAGAAATTCTTCCTGAAGACTGAGTATCAGTTCCCAATGAGTCTCTCTGCCTACCGCCTGCCCTGCAAATTCCGAACTTGTCAGACCCCCCAATTGCATGACCTAGTTCTTTAAAATACATCACCTATTGGTTGTCTCTGGAGGACCCCGACTAACTGGATGGCTGCAGAGTGGTGCATCCCACTTGCCATTAAGCCATGGAACCGGTGACCCTTTGGCGAGAGCAGCTGTGGCTGTTTTGATTTGATGAAGCCTGATCACTTTATCCCAGGCGACCTTCTTCATACCAACAGGCATGAGGTGAGATTACCTACAACCTGAAAGAACCCTGAAGGCACAGGCTAGAGAAAGGTGTGTGAAGTTTCAAATAACCAAGGTTCTCAGAAAAAAAGAAAAAAAGAACATGGTTCTCAATGCAGATGAGGAGCAGGAAAAAAAAAAAAACCCTTTGCTGGTTTTAGCAAGGTTAAAAGAATTCACAAGGCAGCTCAGGTATAAACAGATATATGCAAGGGAATAAAAAATCATTGTTCTGAATTACAGCTGCAATGTCGTAGGTACTTCCAGACTTATCAGTGTGTCTCCACAGAGTGTAGCAGACAGAACAGCTAACTGAAGAATCCATCTTAAAAATCCAGTAGGTAGGGGATGGATACGGTAGCTCAGGCCTATAATCTCAGCACTCTGGAAGGTCAAGGTGGGCAGACTGCTTGAGTTCAGGGGTTCAAGACCAGCCTGAGCAAGGGTGAGATCCTTTCTCTAGAAAACAAAATAGCTGGGTGTCATGGGGGGCGCCTATAGTCCCAGCTAATGGGGAGGCTGAGGCAAGAGATTTGCTTGGGCCCAAGAGTTTGAGGTTGCTGTGAGCTATGATACCACTTAGTCTACTAAGGGTGACAAAGTGAGACTGTTTCCAAAAAAACCTAAAAAGCAGTAGGTAGAAAAACAGCCACTAAAAGCAACCTTAAATAGGAATTGTACTTGCTACCCCACAGCCAGTCTTGGACTTCAGCTGAAACCCAGACAGTCCTTTTACAGAAGTGACAGCTTTTTATTTGCAGGACAAGGAAGGGAATGGTGGTGTCACAGTGAGGACTCTTGGCCACGTCAGGTAACATCTCGAGTGTCCTCTCCCGACCCTCGCCGCTACACTAATGTGAGCAGAGCACTTCTGAGAAGGAGCAGGGAACACCAGCAATCTGGGAGGGTCAAGGCGGACAGGGGCAGGAGCAGAAGGGAGGCAGGCAGGTCAACTCGCTGCTGGCTACAGCCCTTTCCCCAGGATGGCTACGCGGTATTTAAAAATAGAAGACAAAAATAACTTACTGTGTAGGCAATTAATTCTTGTTGGCATAGTGATCCTCTTAAGTTAAAGGGAATGAGCATGAGATGAAGAGAAATAAGAGGGAGAGAATTATGCACAAGCAACACTGGGCCGGGGGGCGGCAGAGCTCTCGCCAAGGCGTGCGGGACGCTTGGCAAGGTTTGTTACTGCTCCGTTTATTTTTTTCAAGACCTCCCTCTTCAGTGGCTTCTTAAACTAAAACTAAACCTAAATGTGGGGAATAAAATTCCTGTGTTGGCTATAGCACCACAACACGGACATTTCCAACCAGCGAAATCCCAGAAGAATTCGAAGGCAGACCTTCCGGAGCCTAGACCAAGCTGCTGGCTATGACAGAGGACACGGGCAGCCCCAAACAAAAACACACACAAGTGAGCCTGAGTCTAAAACAGACAGGAAACTCCACAGAGTTGCCCCTTAGCTCAACAGTTGCGAAAAATTTTTGGTGGAAAATGGAAACTATTTGGCACCTTTAACACAGAATCGTCTAAGATTCTGACAACATCTCAGGGAGATGCTAAGTACAAGTTACTCTGAAAACACCGGAATGAGAAAGCAATTCTAAAACCGTGGCCACACGTGTTCTTTTAAAAAACCCCCGGGGGCGATGCAGTAGGTGCCACAGAGTCAACTGCGCTGCTGGCCGAGACCTTAGAGAATTCCCAAATGCCAAGCCTTGGGGCTGAGGTGTGGGAACGTGAAGCGCCCCAGGGTATGTGCTCTGTGTCCCCAAAGGGTGCTCACCCACCCGGCCAGGGAAGGGAGAGAACAGTGTGGCTGACACGGCACGGGTAGAAACCCAGGGAAAGAACTCTCTGGAAGGAAAGCCACAGAGAGGAGTGGCCAGCAGGGGACACTGATGTGTGAATGAATGGGGTGAATGAGGCTTGGCATTTCAGAGCGAACAAAAAGGACAGGCCAGAGTGGGGCTCTGCTAGGACAAGAGGAAATGGACCCTGGAGTGGAGAAGAGACGCCCACCCTGTGCCCATGTTTCTTACCTCGCCCAGAACTCGCCACGGCATGGGTTATACCCTCCCCCTACCCAGGCTGCAAAGGTCCCAAGACGAAGAACCGGCTGGCGGTGTGTCAGGTGACCAGGTTATCTCTGACACAACCCGTGCAGAGGCTCCGTAAAGGAGCCAGGGAGCCCAACACAGGGGTCAGCGAGCAGGTGACCGCCCCCAGGGTTCTGTGGACACACAGCTGACCTGGGCATCTCCTCCTCTGCACGGGCAAGGGAGGTGAGCCTCCGGAGAACAGCCACGGCACAGAGACACGGAGCAGGAAGTGGGGGGAGTGACAAGGCGGAGGAGCCCATGGCTGCCACTTACGGCATCACAGACACGCTGTAGGGAGGCTGCCTATGGAGGTGGGGGGGGGGTGTCCGTGCACGGCAGGGCGGCAGGCAGCAGCCCTGGCCTCACCCACTAGCCGCTAACAACACTCCCACTCCCAGCATGACAACTGTCTCCAGACATTGTCAGTGTCCCCAGGAGACAGAAACAATGCCCTGTGGCAAGAAAGGTGGTGGCAGGGCAGCTCACCAAAGCTCTCGATGACCAAGACTGCCTCTCTATGGGCAGTTCCAGGGAGCCCCAGCGTCCTGTGACGGCCTCAGATCCCAACACAAGGGGCAGAGCCAGGCATGGCCCAGTGGCAGCCCCCATCCCCAGCCCCGTCCTCTGCAAGGTGCACGGGGCCATGCTTGCTGCTCCCTGGATGGGCGTGTTCAGTGGGCTCAGGGGATACACATGATCCCTGTCCGTTACAGGGATCTGATGTTCGGGGGCTCTGGAGTCACATGTCCAGAACCAACTCCTGCCCCAGACCGTTTCCCTCAGCACGTGTGTAGGTTCCAGGATGCTGAGGCATTGTCTGTGTGAAACTGCACACAGTTCAAGAAATTTATCATTTTAAAGCGATGGTTTGGTGCTAACTGAAAAAAGTTATTCTATGATTGCCTCGTTACTGTGTGCATATTAAGCTAATGATTGGCTACTGTAGGGAGGGTCTCTCCCCCAGATCCTGCAGGGTTCAGGTGGGGAGCTTTGGTTTTGCTTTAGTTGAGGGAAGAGCCCGAGCTGTAAACAGGCAGAGGTGTCAATATCCGCTGCTGAAGGAGACCTAGGGTCTGCCTAGCTTTGCTCTGGGTCTCTTTGGCCCCATCGCCAGGTGTGACTCTTGGTGTCCCTCAGAGAGCCAGGTGGATGGAATCTTGACGGGGGAAGGGGCACCTGCAGGCAGGAACAGCAGCTGGCCCCAGAGCAGACGGTGGCACCGGGAGGATTCCACACGTGCCTCCCCTGGACTCTAACAGGCTTAAACATCATTCAGCACAGGACGGGGATTTCTGGGGAGGAGAGTGAGGCTGGGATGGAGTTTGCAGAGGACAAAGGGAAGGACAGCAGGCGATGAGAACTAAAGTTAAGCTCAGAAGCTGGCAGGAGAGCCGGGCCACCAAGTGGTGCAGGTACCTTTACGCTTCTTGGCAGCACCCAGCTCTGAGGCGCTCAGGGAGCTCTCCGACAGCTCATCCCCGTCGGGGTCCAGTGGGGCGGGGCTGCTCCACGCTGCCTGAGGCTCCTTCTCCAGGTCCCAGGAGTCCAGTTCATTCTCCTGGGGCTCGAGGGCCAGGGGGGCCTGGGCTGGCTCGTCCTCCTCAGGCAGGGCAGAGGCCGTGGCCACGTCCAGGTGAGCCGAGGTGTCCTCCTGGTGGGCGCTGTCCAAGGAGGCTGCGTAGTCATGCATCAGGGCAGCACTGTGGTCCTGAGATAGTGAGGTCTGTCCGGGCAAAATGCACCATCAGAGGCTGAGAGTGAAGGAAAAAGTTGGTGCAGGGAAGGATGAAAAAGGTGTGTGGAAGGAGGGGAGGTAACACAGCAGCTCCTACTCAACAAGGGGCCAGGACAGGTCTCCACGCACAGTGCTCAGCGCTCAGACCACCCAGGGCCACTGGCCCAGAGACCCCAGGTGGGCTGGAGGGCCAAGGAAGCAGTGAACATCCCTTCTCACCCTGTGGGGAGAGACTGAGTGCACCCTCCTTCTCCTTTGAGCAGACAGCACAGACAGAGGCAAAGGAAGTGAACATTTCAAATTAGTTTGTCTTTTAACTTCTGTTCCTACAGCACTTTTATGTTACCTGCAAGTAGACATTAACCAGCATACACTTTGTATCTTTTTAATTGTCTTATTTGTGAGCCAGATATTTAGGTGCTAACTTAACCTGTTGGGTTGGGAATAGGGAAGCTGGTTTGGGGTCTAGGAAAGGAATGGCAGCGGCACAGGGCTCCCTGGGGACTGGTCACACTGCTCTTGAACTGGGTGGCAGTTATACAGGGTGTTTGCTAAGTCACAATTGACAATGTGCTTTTCTGATGTAAGTGCTGGCTTGCAGAAATGCCCACAGACTCAAGATGATCTGAGCATCATAAAAATAATAACTGCAGTGGATTCAAAACTTTATTCTTTTTTTGTTTTGAGACAGAGTCGCACTATGTAGCCCTCAGTAGAATGACGTAGTGTCACAGCTCACACCAACCCCAAACTCTTGGGCTTAAGCAATTCTCTTGCCTCAGCCTCCCAAGTAGCTGGGACTGTAGGTGCCTGCCACAATGCCCAGCTATTTTTGTTGTTGTTGTTATTGTAGTTTAGCTGGCCCAGGCCAGGTTCAAACCCACTAGCCTTGGTGTATGTGGTCGGCACCGTAAACACTGTACTATGGGGTGGCACCTGTGGCTCAGTGAGTAGGATGCCAGCCCCATATAGCGAGAGTGGTGGGTTCACACCCGGCCCTGGCCAAAGTGCAACAAAAAAAATAGCCAGGTATTGTGGCGGGTGCCTGTAGTCCCAGCTACTCGGGAGGTTGAGGCAAGAGAATCACCTGAGCCCAGGAGCTGGAGGTTGCTGTGAGCTGTGACTTCACAGCACTCTACCAAGGGTGACAAAGTAAGACTCTGTCTCAAAAAAAAGAACAAAACAACAAAACACTGTACTATGGGTGCCGAGCCACTTCATTCTTTTTTTCCTTTCATTTTTCTTTTCAATGCAATTCCGGAAAAATGGGTTGAAAACTTTAAATGTTAAGTTCCAAGAGCTCATAATGATTCTAAAATAAAACCTTAGACTCAAAGCACAGGGCAGATGACTATAGGGCTGGTCCTTGTTCTACCTGTCCACTCCCCAGGACTAGGAAAGCCCACTGTGTCCAGGGCTTGCATCGAGGCTGAGGACCCTGCCAAGCTTCTGGGGACATGGGGCAAGACCACCCACCCTCTGGGTAAAATGAACGGGGTGACTCCTTTTCAGCACCTCGCAGGCCTGGCTCTAGCCCTTCTTCCAGCTGCCAAGGGGCTAGTTCTTCAAGCCACCCTGCCTACCCTCTTGGGGACTTCCCGTTTTTGATCCATCCTCTGTGCTCAAAGCTTCTTTCTCCTCATCCCCTCCCACTCCAAACCAAAACCTCCCAGCCCTCCTTCCACTGTTCATCTGGAAATGTCAGAAGAGCCCCTCCCCTGAGGGTTGCCCTCTCAGCAGCCCAGACTGTGTGACAGCCATGAGGGGGGCTCATACCTGCCACCTGCTCTGAGTGGACGTCCCAGAGCCTGAGAAGGGAAAGCACGGGGGGGGGGGGGGCTGTGCACGGAGGACATAACAACCCTCGTTTCTCTCTGATTACAGAAGGAATAAACATTCACAGAGAAAATTTTAAAATGTGCAGTGTGGAGAGCAAAGGTCCCCACTGGGGCAGTGACAGGGTGGAGGTCTGCACACCAGGAAATCTGACATCATGGCCTTCGCTCTCAATGGTCGCTCTTGAAATGATTCACCAACCTCTCAACACTGGAAATAACACAGTCAACTTTCAAGTTTCCTTCATAAACAGGGAAAAAGCTGCACAGACAAAATCCCACGAGTGACGCCCTTGTTGGGTTAGAGACATAATGTGACGTTTATACGTAGGACTTTCCGGCTGCTGTCTAGCAGGCCACTGACAGACCCTGCACCTCCAAGCCCTGGGACTGTACCTTGGAGACACCTGATATGATGATCGTACTTTTCTTCCGAGGAGACTTGAGTTTCAGCTTTGAAGACTCACTGAGCTGTCGAATGGCCACCTCAGCCACTGGGTCTGAGCCGTTCAGCACCAGCAGTTCTGCCAGAGAGAAGGCCATGTTGCATCCGTTAGCAAGACTAAAACTTACATGGGCACTTCCAGGGATGGTGGTGTGGTCTAGAAGCAGTGGTTAGCAAAACCGTTTGTAAACAGTCAGGCTGCCCAGGGAAGCCAGTCGCTGAAATGGCTTCTTCTGAACGTAGCTGAAGAGCCCGGGTGAACGGGTGGGCACAGCTGGGCTCCTGGCTAGAGAGGGACCCAGGAGCTATCCCCACTGGCCACAGACTGAATGAGGAGCCCTTGACGTGAACGTCAGCCCAGGGTCTTTTAAAACAGGGTCCTGCCCAGGTAAAGGACCCCGAGTAAGAGGCGAGGTGGTGGGGTGCACCGCCAGGGGCAAGGCTGGAGATGGAGCACTTGGGGCAGTGTCTAAAGGAGAGGCAGGGCCGCCTGAGCTCAGGAAGCTCTCAGTGGTGACCCTGCAGGGCAGTGTCCAAAAAACATTGAGAAATCCCAGGAGAGGAAGAGGCAGTTGCAAACTCCCTCAGGCTCCGAGAACACAAATCATGTGAAGAGTGTCCTCCCAAGGAGAACTTTCCACTCAGCTGATCACCCCTTTAGCTCCATCAGTGACCTTAGTGGACT